ATTTTGTAACATACAGATAGCAGATTATGTCAACTGTATTTATTATTTCTAAAATATTAGTAGTATTTTTTCCTTCAGTTTGTTAGTCGGTGTGAGAGAAACAGGAAATGTAGGGAGAAAGATAAGTATTGTAGAAGCAGAGTTCAGCACAACTTCACCTAGCTCCAAAGTATGGAATGAGATTTGTGCCTATTATGTCAATTTAGCCTGCTAGCTGTTTTGTTATCTTAAGTTAGAAGTTAAGCTTTTAAATTACTTATAAAATTGGCATAATCTGAAACGATTGCTAACTAAGCAACGTTAGCCTGTACTGTGTTTGTGTGTGATAGCTTTCATTAAAAAACACAGTAATTTGCCCTTTGTTTGTAGAACAATGTAAAATTGTGAGACCTGCAGACCTGAACAGACCTATTGATGATGTCTGCAAGGCTTAAAACAACAAAACGGCATGGAGGCTACAGCTCAGACAACATATATAATCAATACTCACTTTAGTAATCTTTCCAGTGTATAGGGTGTCAACACAGCTGAACGTCTGGGGCACTGAGTTGTCACTCAAACACTCATTAGCCAATAGAGATGCACCCCTGAAAAACCCGCCCACACGAGACATTTGTGTCAGAACTGCAAACAAAAAGTGAAGCAATGCAAACGAGAGAGCTGGCAGAACTGACAGTGAGAGCAAAAGGTGTTATTAGTTAGTTTTTTTCTTGCTCAAATTATTTTTCTTTGTTTGATGTTTAAAAGGTTTTGTTTGTTTAAATTGGCACAAATCTGATTCCGTACCAAAGTGCATAGAGAGGGGGGAAAGTCTGAAGAGATCAAAACTCCACAACGCCTTAATTGTCAGACCAACGCATCTTTGGCTTGTGGCCTTCATCAGGGTCAGAGAGAGGAGTATGACATGCAGCAAATGTCTCCAGACTGGGAGTCGAACCGTAGACATTGTGGTTATGTGGTGTACTGGGTTTTCTTCAACGTTATGCCAAGCAGCTCTACGGCCTACATTCAGCAAAGTCAAATTTGTTAGATTAATCCCTGAAATTTTGAACTGTTGGAATATTAACTGAGGTTTGGCCACTCAATTCATTTATAATCTTATATGCTGAAATACTTCAAACATGTTAAATAGTCTTTTAAAGAATGAATTAAAATATTATCCGCATATGTCGTTAAGAAATGGTATGTATTGTGGACTGGTTTGTGATCCTGTGCAAGTGGCTCCAGAGATAACAGAGATTGTAAGGGGGACAGAAGATATTGCTTGTCAAGACCAATGCAGTGGCATTAGCACAGAACACTTTTTTCCTTGATAGAATGTATACATGTTGGTTTTGTCAACATGGTAAAGTTACTTTTTTCTTATTTTCCAACTTCAATTACTTAAAACTTGTTTGTAACTCACACGCTTTCAGATTGGTTCCTACTTTGGTGCAGAGCTGTGCTCAGTAGATGTCAACTCAGACAGTAACACTGACTTCCTGCTGGTGGGAGCTCCAATGTTTAACCAGCCTCAGGAGAAGACACAAGGCCAGATCTACGTCTATACACTGACTGATGAGGGTTCAGATTCAGTGAGAGAAAATTGGCGACAGACACCGAGGGATACGCAGTCATTTCAGCCAGGTGAGACAGAGAAAACCGCAGCTGCAGATTTCCTGTCAGTCAGGATCAATCATTCATCATCAGGGTTAGACACATGCCAGTAGATCAGGCTAAAACTGGTTTGGACTTAACCTCGAAATCCATACTGATGAATAACATGAGGAGGGTGTCAATCTTTAAAACCTGTAAACCTGAAATCATGGGCTGGAGTGTTATCCTGTGTCTGACAGTGTCGGAGAATCTAAGATTTGAAATTGGCGCCTCACAGTCCCAAAACAGACCCAGTTTTTATATGTTTATATAGCAAAACTCGACCAGTTACGTTACCACTCGTCACAACTGTCAAAATCAGCTTTATTTGCCAGGTATGTGTACACATATGACAAATTTGACTCTGGATTGTACATTGCTCACGATGTGCTTACTTATACAATAATACAATAACACAATGATACAGTAATAAAATCAAACACAGGCTACAGTATGGGGAACACATGCACTTGATTATTATTACGGCTTATGCCGGTGTCGCCTCCTGACATTTTGCGCCCTAGGCAACCGCCTATGTCGCCTATGCCATGGGCCGGCCCTGGCTAATCCATTTTTAAATCAATGTATGTTTGGCGTGTTTTTAATGTCTTGGCTCGTCTGTCTTTTCAACCTGAGGATATATGCACTGAGACAACTGACTGTCTGGGTAACACCGAGGAAAATATAGTCCTACCAATGGTTACCTTAACTGCTTGCTTTGAAATGGTCGAAACAACAAAGAGCAAAGCAGGTAGGGACCTGATCCAATGAGGGACTGTACAGAAATTGTACGGGGGTTGGTAAAGAAAAGGGCGTTCTCTGGCCAAGTTGGTTTCATTGTGATGGGCAGTCAGACATCTGGTCTGACCACAGCCAACCAGACGCATGAGTGATGTTGGGTGTAGTTCGAAGTAAAACAGGCTTTAAACCTCCAGCCAAAAGGGCAATCACTGCTTTTCAGCCTGCTGTCAAGTTACTCTTACTAAGCAGAGCCTTGCATTTTTAAATAAACTGAAATATGAGATTCAGCTGACCCTACCTACACCAATAATTTTCATGATGTCCCAAATCTGATTCCTCAACAACTGCTGATGCTTCTCACTTGCGGCTAATTTAATCCATTTGGATGCTTTTGCAGGGGCAGGGAACTCAGGACTGAACATCTTGTGTGTGCTCAGCCTGGATCCAATGATCAGTCCAATTGATAAGACAGCTAGGAATCTTACCTCAACGTTAAAGCTCAGGAATAAAGACACCTGCTTCAACTACCCAGTCTACAGGCCCGTATGGAGATTTTATAGAGAAACTGACCTTCCTGTCTGTCTATGTAAATAATCCATACATCCACCTAAGTACATCTAATGGATGGTGATCTCCTATAATTCTACTTTCCATCAATACTACACCTTAAAAGTGGAGAGGGAATTTTAAAAAAGCATGTTTTTATTTATTAATAATAAATGTGTTTTTTGTACCAGTGTGGCATTGAACTCCCACTAAGGCAGAACCATTAAATAATCACAGGAGACAGGGATAAAAAAAACTACTAACTACATAATAATCTTTATTAGGTAAATAGCAACTATTCAACAATTCATAAAAAAGGAAGGAGGGGTACAACAGGCCACACCTCACCAGCTGTTAAGTCCACTACACACGGTAAAACACAGGGCTGGGCTCTTAAGGCACATCGCTCGAACACATCACGCTAACACCCCCTAACTGGAGGCACAGTTATGGGATGACTTATCTGTTAACAAGCACTGCAATCCACAACCCACCAACTTCAGGTGAAAAGCATTTGACTATATCTATATCTTAATAAAGTGCATCTTATCCTGCCTGAGATCTATGATTAAATCTTCCCCACTGCTCTCCCTGCCCACACTTTTGAAACTCCTAAAATATACACATTTAGCAAATAGTTTAAAAGGTGTGCTTCACTTGAAGCGTAAAAAAATGAGAGCATGTTTGGGCTATACTTTCAATCTCTTCTTAGCCATCAACTTGATATTTGTGTTAAAAAATAATAAAGTGCTGATGATTTCCATTTAAACTTAAATGTTGGTTAATAAAGTATGTCCATCTGCTCTGTTTCAGATGATATGCATTTCCTTGTTTTTTATTTTTTCAAAAGCTCAAATCCTCACCAACCCACCTGCCCATGTAGCACCTTTCTGTCACATTATTAGAAATTTTAAACTAGACTCTTCTTATTCATGTTTCCAGTAACGTTTCTTAATATTTCTTTAAAAATATGACTCTTATTTTCCTTCGCAGAAATGTGTGGACGACAAATCTTCACTGGTCAGCATCAGACTAAACTTCTTCCAAGTTGATAGTGAGAGAGCGAGTGCCGTCCTGAACGTGGACAGCAAAAGGCAGGCTGTTGCCGAGGTTTGTACGGTGACTAAAGCGGAAAGCAGTCTGTCTAGATCGTTTTGCTTTTCTTTTATTATGCAGCAAAAGATACCAACACATCTATTCTATATACACACACACGTGTGGTGTGCATAGCTCTCAACCTTTCTTCCATGTAAACACATGACTGTGAAAAGTTTTCACCATTTCCCCCAGATTACTATAAGTTGTCTGGAGAAATCTAAATGATAAAACTAAAACAAATGCAAAAGAAAAAACTGTTCGTCATTTACCAACAATCATGTCCTTGTTCTGTTTTGACGACCAATTTTTGACTTGCTCTCTGTTTTCAAGTTTCCTGAACAGAAACTACAACCATTTCACAGGTTCCCTTTCGAAAGTAATGTTGAGGAAATGACACCTGTGTTGCTGAACTTGGAAGCTGGATTTCAAGTATGTCAAACAGCAAGAGAGAAGCATCATGTATATAATAAAAGTATATCACAAATGTTTCCATACATACTGTATATCTGCCCAGAATACAAAGTTTTTGGTGCAGTGTTGTTGAAATGTCCTCCTTCGTTGTTGGCCAAGTACAATATATGGCATCAAAAAGACAACATCTGAAGTTGTGAGTGCTCTTTTAACTCTGCTTTATAACACACACACATCCTGATTCAAACGTAGATATTAGAGTTGTTGCCCGATGTGTCTCTGTGTTTTCAAACAGTAATGTCTGGGAAAATCTAAACCTGTATTTCAACAACATTTTTATGCACATTGAAAACAAAAATAAGTAGAATTCACCATCAGTTGCAAAACTTACTTATGTAGTCAGTGTAGAATAAATTACTCATATTTACTAGGATACACTCAGATCAGTGTTTGGGGATCATATTCTTTTATTATATATATATATATATATATATATATATATATATATATATATATATATATATATATATATATATATATATATATATATATATATATATATATATATATATATATATATATATATATATATATATATACACACCAATGAACAAAAACTTGTTAAAACCTAAAATATTTTAATGTTCAATTATTTTCAAAAAAATGTTGATAGTGCAGAAAAATATAATTGTAAAAACGGCACAAAAAAGGACTAATTCAATAAAGTCTGTAGGTTTGAAATAAAAAAAACATGATTTACATATGTACACCCTCATTAGATGTTTACCATGACAGACCACAAGGCAAGACTACTCAAGAGTGTTTCCACACACGAGTAATTCCAGCGTTAATGTCCGAAGTGGAAAACAGAGGCGTCTAAAGTCTTGAAAAGGTCCTTGAGTGGTGTGGCCGACATGTTCCCATTCACCGACTTTCCTTCCTCTGATGTGTACTTCAGTCTTGATCGGGTATAATGCTGCATCAGCGGCAACACTGGTTTGAATGGCAAGTTGTGTGTACCAGAGTTTCTCTCCTGAGATTCAGTCATTCCTGGACTGCCGACACTCGACCCACCTGTTGCCTCCAAGAAGACTGGATGAGTCTGAAGAAAGGGCTGGTGCTCTGATGACTGTAAAACTGTTTCTTCAGGGGACTGTTTGTGAGAATCATGAGTCTAAGGAGAAACAAGAACAAGCAGAAAGCGGTTGGCAACCACACAGTATTCAGAGAAAGGTAGGATCCAATACAACTTGGGCTATAGAGCTCGACGGTCTCATCCTGCCGATGGGAATTCCAAAAATCAACAGCAACAACATCCGAAGTCAGTGTTTGAATTATACTGGCTTACGAGGCCGGCAAGATACATCTTATTTCTCTGTGCTAGAGCTTAATTTTTGTAAAACAATTTAAAATGCTTTACATAAAAGCAACATAGTGCAATATAAAAAGACATTCAAATACAATTTAAAGAGTTACATAGAAAATAAAAGCAAAATAAAACAGGAGTTTAAAAGTTACAGTGCAGCGTAACATATCAGCAGTTTCTTCAAATCTGTTCAGTTAATGATTATTTTCATTACGGATTAAACTGCTGATTATTTTCACCATTAATTGATAGATTGTTTGGTTTGTACAAAAATAAGAGCCCAAAGTCACACCTTCACGATGCTTCTTTTGTCCAACCAACAGGCCAATCTTCAAAATTATTAACAATACATATAAATTATTTACATAATTTAAAGGAAAAGCAACAAATGTGACCATTTCAACTTCACATTTTCAGTTAATTGACTAATTGATTAATCAACTTCTTGTTGTTGTAGTTTAATTTATAACAAAACATATTTGATATGGCTTTTCATATGTTTGTGCTATAATATAATTTCTGAAGTAACAAGTAACTTAAACCATGTAGTGATAAATAATACAAGAGTAGAAGTACACAGTGGTATGAAAAGTAAATACTGACGTGTTTCGTCATTAGATAGATCAATTATTGTCCTAATTTAAGAGGAGATTTGTATAAAGGAACCTGGTCACTGTATTTTCTTTTAAGTCAATACCACATACACCATTATCCTAGCAGCTCTGTGAGGCTCTAATGTGGCCATAAATGAAACAATATATGTAATAGTGGACTATGCTATTCTAATCCAATATGCGTCTTTTTTTTTGTCATATCTCCTCACGGTTCGCTAGCTGTCCGTTCTGTGTGTGCACCAAAAAAAACAAAAATATCTTGTGTTTGTACACAGCACTGGCTCTGTAAACAGGTGGCTGCCACACAACACTATTGTAACCATGATTTGTGTGTCAGATAACATTAAATGACCTGCCTGCGGACACTTAACTTATTTTCTAGTTCACCAAGATATGCTGTTGTTGTGATGTTAGCTATAGCAGCAGGAGAGTTCTGAGTGTCGCTGTCTGGAGCTGGTGTGCTGCTCTGGCACCGTCTCGTCCTCTCTGCATGTGAGCTTCGCAACAGCGACTATATTTGCTAACTCACAATGTTACATTGAACTTGCTGTGGCATTGTTCGCTCTGTCACGGTATTGACATCTCCAGAATCGCATACCCCATCTTTAAGAAATAAGACACCTTTATTTCCTGTTGGGAAATTTGTTCTGGACACCCTCCTGCAGTTCCACAGGAAATCAGGTCATACATACTATATAGTGACCAGCTTTTAAAGATTTATGTTTTGAAGGGTAGATGAAGAGGAGCACCCATTAGCAACGGTCACTTAATAAAAGTACACAAAGTAAAAGTAAATCGTTTCAAAACTGGTGAGGCCCCACTTGACAAACACTACATGTGTTATGGGTACAAAAAGCTGCCCCGTCCTTACAGTAAAATACCTACCTTGAGCTTCTTCTTCCGCCTCCCCTTTTTCTTAGCTTCCTGCTGTTGCTTCTCAGAGACACACGCCGTACTGCTTTTGTCCTTTGTGTCACTTTCTGAAATGCAATCAAAACAATAACAGATTATTGTTCAATTCTACCAGGATGATTTTATACTCAAATATGAATAGAAATGTCTTGAATAAACAGAATGAGCACCTGAAGGGACACTGATCTGAATGCTGTCCTGTTGGTAGGGGCTCAGGCACAGAAACAGAGTCTTCAGAACTGAATTTGCAGTGGCTGCTGCTGCAGAGTCTACTAAATGAACAAGGGATTAACAACATATTTCAGCAGTGCAAGTAAACATTTCCTGAACTAGTATGTGTGTAAGTGTGCAATGTGTGGCATGTCCTTACCTTTGTGATTTGAGATGTCGGGCAGCTGCTCACGAACATGGGTTGTAAATGGACTGTTACCACAAGGAGTAGGATCGGTAGACATCTCACCGAGAGAATCGGACACAAGGCTACAGACGGGATTCAACAGCTGCTTTGTATGCTGATTTACATGCTCAGGACTGTCTTCGTTTCCAATTTTAGGATTAGAAGAGAAATTAGGGGATCTTGGCAAGGGAGAGATTTCTTTTACATCAGTTCTGACCTGTAGTGGGAGAGGTGTCTCTAAATTAGAAGCTCTTTGTTTGGAGTCTGATGAATGAGATGTGTTATCAATGGACTGGTTTGACTGTTGAGAACAGGAGGAAGTCCTTGAACAATCTGGTTGAGGCGGCATGTGTGGGAGAGGAGCAGCACTGAGAGGGGCAGCAAAAAGGCTGAGGAAGGACCTGGCAGAGGCTTTGTCAGGTTCAAGCACAGTTTTAGCAGGAGTACTTCTGCAATCTGCAGACTGTGGAGCAGGGCAGGAAGACTGAATTAAACCCTGAGGACAAGAGGAACTTGTTACAGAATCGTCTAAAGGCTGCAGAGTGTCAGTGATGGGGCCTGCGAAGAGGCTATGAACGGGTCTTTTCATAGTCTTTTTACACCCAACTGCCAAATCACCACAATGTGCCACTTTACTGCTGCAATGTGCTGTGGTTTCAGTTGAATGATGTTCTGTGCCAAGTTTGAGGTCAGATTGTGTCTTTTTGGAGTGCAGGTGGATCTCAGTGGGTTGTTTTGCAGCAAAATGAGAACTGACCGAGTTTGTAGTTTCACTTGTCTTAAAGGAGCTGGTGGCAGGTTCAACAGGAGCCGCACCTCCACCTTTAATCTCTGTGAAACCTGAAGAGGGATAAAAAGGCTTTACTGAGGCTTGTGAGTCAGCTCTCTGAACAGAGAGATGTGGTGTCAGTTGTGTTGGACGTTCGGAAGTAGGTGTCTTACTAGGGGGCCTTGAAAAAATGCTTTTGTTCTTATTGGATCCAAAAGGAAGACCATCACTTTTACAGTTTACAGAGCATGTACTGTCCGTAGGCAGTTGCGTGCCTCCTTTCATATCTCCTTTGCTTTTGGAGGATGCAGACTTCTCTGCCACAGTGACACGAGAATGCACCAATTCCAACTTGACTTCATGAGAATCACTTTGGGCAGGTTTCAGGGACTCTGGCATATCCCCACCTTGTTTCTTGTGATCCCCCGAGGCCAGAGTAAGATTAGGGCTGGTCTTTGAAATCCGGCCAGGGTGCATTTGGAGGGATGACAGGCTCTTGAACATTTTTTCCTGGGATTTCTTCTCCTCATTTCTGGTATTTATCGAATATAACACCTTCTCATTTTGGGTTTCTGAGTTTAGAAAAGGCTTAGTGTTCTCAAAGTAACTTTTTGGGCTATAGGAAACTGTTTGTGCAGTAGGAGGGCCAGGCGTGTGTTCAAGGGTAGAATATCCCACTGATTTACAAGACCTGAGAACAGCATCAACAGAGTAGGGAACTTTGCTTTGGTTTGCAGAGCCGGGTGTGCAATCAGAAGACGTGAGAGGGGCAGATTGTTGACTTCCTGGAGTTGTGAAGAAACTAGAGAAAGGTCTGGACAGCTGAGGTCCAAGCACTGCTTCAACTGAATAACAAACTGGCTCCTCATGACTAAGCTTAGGTGATGGGGGGCCATGAGGCTGGGTGGCATTTGACTCATGTGATGGGACAGCTTCCTTCATGAAATCAGCCAGTTCTTCAGTCTGACATAACAAGGCTTCCTTCTCAGCATTTGTGTCTGCGCTTTTGTAAAAGTTAGGCCTGAAAAATACAAATATTCATGTGAATATAACTTCTAAAGGTCATAACTTGTATGTGTGACAAAATCACAAAGACAGGCTTAAAGCTTGTATGGGCATACCTAAGTGGTTGTAGAAGTATATCAGGGGTTGTATTGGCTTCTAGAATTTCAGACTCGTCCGTGTTCGCTGGTTGTCCTGACGACTCTTGTTCGGCTTTTTTCGCAAGTTCATAAAGGTCATTATCCCGTTTTAGTGCCTGCAGTGAGAAGAAGTGACGCACATGCGATTTTCAGCACAGAACAATGCAAATAAAACATTTTGAGAACATTTTCATGACTGAACTTTTACGTACACACCTCATCCAACAGTTTGGTAGTGACATCATTAAGCTGCTCATGTGAAAACCTGCAATCTGCTCCTTGAGAACATTTTCCTTTTTTATGGAAGAACTTGCAGGGGAAGGACTGTGCAGCTTAGTTTAAGGAAATAATAGATTTTTCACAGTTCGCAGTACAATAATCATCACCACAAAGCTGTAAAGGTCATTGCTCTCAAAGGATATTGTGCATGTACGGGCAGCTGTCCCCTTTCGTGCAGAATCCTTGGACGTAAAATTTGCAAACTTCTTTGATGAGGTCATTGTAACCCTGAATATGTTCCAGTTGGCAGTCGTCACCCTGCATACAGGAAAGGGAAGAAAGCATTGTTATGATACTACTAGTTGTAACAGCACTCGATAAAAGCATGAGGCCAGTTACTCTGACTTGTCAATTTTGGCGTCATATCACTTTTAAAAAATATTATTAATACACACGATAAACGTAACCTGCCTTGAGGCACCTTCCCCACATGAAATGTCGACAAAGTAACCGCCCATCCACCAACAAAGCGTTCTGGTCCATGAACTCCTGTGTCATGGACCTCGGCTTTTTTGCTTGGAAGTCCTAAGAGGAAAGATGAGCATAACAACATTTTCATTAATAGATGATTAATACATTTTGAAGGAAGCATTGTTTTGGCCTATGACCTAATTCCTAGGGGCATTTTGAGCCTGTGTTAGGGGCTGTTCCTTTTTCACTTAAATTTAGTGGGTTGATTTGTGTAGATTACGTGTGTCTGATGTTGATATTGCACAGTAGAAAACATTTTTTAATTCAGAAAAAGATCTAAATTCCTCTTCATGCAAATGTCCTTTCATTCAGACCGCAACAAACATTTGATGATGGATAAAATATATCCTGAAAAGCACAACCGTTTCCTCCTTACCTGCTTATTATCTTTATCGTCCCATCTACCGTTTCTCCATGTAGGTCTTGTCTGATGGCTGCCACCTCTATTGGCAGGCTTCCCTCTACCCTTCTGCTGATGCCGATTGTTCTGCCTCTCGGTCTTCTTTTTTTGTTGTTGCTGATTGTTTGCATGATGATTATTTTTGGTTTTGTAATTCTGACCTTTGTGATACACATTACTGTAGCCAGCTTTATTTCTTTGGTTATGTATCACCTCTTTGTTGAAATCAACATTTGCGTGTTCACTATAAGTGTTCTGCATATGGTAGCGTATAGCCTTGGAGTCATCGTCTTTGAAGGATGTAGCATTATAAGTTCTGGTTGTTTGGGCTTGGTAACATCGCTTCTGTGGAAAGAAAGTGCATAGAGATTAAATGTCAAAGATGTCTGTTAATATTGTAAGATCTATCTGAACTTTTGCAAGAACATAAATAACAATTCATGCAACAAGCAGCATAAACCTTGAAGAACTTCAGTAAACTCAGTTGCAGGTGGACTCACATCAAATGAATGCGGTCTAATGCAACATTCCTGCAATAAAAGTTATAATATTCCGTTTTTGTTGAAACTCTTTTAGAGGTACTGAATAAACCGTACGGTCATTTTGAAGGCAATAAGATATATTGAAGTGTTTCTAAGTTGTGTGTAATATTAGCCTACTTAGACAATATTTTCTTAATAGTAATTTATTGTTTATTTATATGCATCTTCATTAATAGACTTTTTAAAATTATTTTTTCTTTAAGTTATCTACAGTTTAGATATGACACTTGGGATGTTGATAAAAATCCCTATTTAAAATTGCCCAACTAATCTTTATTTGTTTTCACTTGCCATCTGTCATTCGTGCTTGATGAATCTTGGCATATGTTGTCTTATTTTAAGGCTGTTTGCTTTATTATCAATTATCATTGTCTCAGGTATTTTTGTTTTATTTGGTTTTAGTAATTAGATTAGATGTGTGTGTTTCATGTGGTGAATTTGATGCCTGAAATCCTTTTCCTATGCATCGGTCTACCAGGTGTGCATCAGACAACTCCTACAGCCTTCATGAAGGTACGGTTTATTGCAGTGCAGTTATATTATACTGTATTAGTGTTGCATACCTTTACCACAATAACTGGAAACTGAGTGTATCTAAAATAATGCAGAAACCTACAACTTTCCATCAGATGCAGCCAGCTAATACTTCCAACTGTGACATGTGAAAATTCAACAAAGAACTGGAACAAGGACACAAATATTAAATAAGTGATGTTAACTTTACAATGTAATCAAATTACATTATAGTTCAACTTCAACTCACCTTTGAGTAAGGGCCAGCCTGCTCACCCTGGGTTTTCCTCTTTCTGGCATTGCCTCTTTTGCCATTGTCAGTGTCGTTCCTATGAAACACAGAGGAGTAAGTCATGTATATTAACTGATATAGATGAAAGCCATTAAATTAGAACAGCTCTTTCAAACACAGCAAAGCTAATGGCTATCTATGGTTCAATACCGGTGTGTAAAGGCTGGTTGATCAGGGCTCCTGACATCTTCTTCAACCACAGACAGTCTCGTGAACAGGTTTGCAAAAGCCATTTTATTTTGCTTGTCATTAGGTGTTATGTTTTTCTGTTCAGGCCTGACGAAGCCCCAAAATACTCGGGTTTCGAGTCCAGTAAACTGTGGTTCACATGGCTCCGTTAGCTACAAACGTCACTCCACCGTTTACCTTCCCCTCTTCTTCCGTGTTTGAGATCGACGTCACCTCGATGGACTCTACCAAATATGGACGGGGTGCGCGGACCCTGACGACTGGCGCTCCCTAGTGGTAAAGTTTTGTATTGTCTGTACATACGTCACCAAATACACCAGAAAATTATGTTCTGTATAATGACCACTCCATTTTTTTTATTGTTTATTGAGAAAACGATGTAGTATTTCAAAACTACTAACCCTTCACTTCATCCACGTCTTCTCCTGTTTTTCCCAAAGTGAAAGAAAGTCAATTAATCATGTAGGCCTACGTACACTGTTGCAGATTTTTCTTAACAAAGAGTTTAATTTTAACCCAGCTCAGTGTACACACTGTAAATGGATGTACTATTGATGCTTTTTCTTATTTGTGTCCTTTTGTGATGCAGCTCTGGGTTGGGTTGATCCAAGGAAATCTCCTACTATGACAATGTCTGCTTGGAAAAAGGCCATAATATTGTAATAATTGTAATAATATATGTTCCTTCTATAAATTAGTGGTTGTCCATGTGACTATCTAGATTTCTTAAAAAAAGTACTGTATTGTCCCATGATTTGTCACATTAGAATAAAATGAGATTAAATCCCTTGAGATTTGGAGACATTGGGTGGGATTTGGGGACAAAGCTGTACAAAGTCTTCCATTCAAATGCCTTGATGTACAGTTGTTGCTGTTAGAATGATTATTGCACAGGCTGGCCTGCCCAGAAAATTGTGATACTTACAATTACAATAATACAATCGCCTCAGAGAATCCAAATTTGGTCACGCTTTTATAATATGAAAAACCAAATGTCAGAAACATCCTTTTGAACAACTACATAGACACACACACACACTGAGGGAGTATTTAGATTTAGTTCTCAGTCTGTGGATTTACACCCACTCATTTTATACATACACCGTCATATTGTGTGTTTATTCCTGAAAAAATGAGCAGTTATGAGGTAGTTTGGATGTTTCAGTAGCAAAAGCTATCAGGTGTGGGAGTTATATGTGGTAATTTAATTAATTTGCTAATACTGACAAACAATTTGCACATGAATGTACTGACTTAATAAATCAGGCAGCGGAGCACAAAGTTGATGCTCTCTCATTTTAAAGCAAAGCTACTGTGTCCAGTTTGCTACTATGTGTTATTGTCAAGAGAGATTAACACTTAAATTAATGGGATTAAAATGTTATTGAATCCTCTTGGCTGAATAGTGAACAAGCAAACTCTCATCAATCAGCAAGAATGATAAAAGCTCAGATGAGATAGAAGCTGGACTTTGTTCCTCCACATATGAGGCCGTCCCTGAGTCTGGCTCAAAGTGCAGGTCACGCAGAGTGTTTCAGTATTGCCTCTGTGCATGTGTTTGTGTTTCCCCTCAGTCTCTGCACTCGAAGTCTGTTCATACTAAGCATTTTGAGCTACAGGATGACCCGTTGGGCCCTTCTTGCTCCCTTCCTGCTCCTGCTGGGCCTGTTTATCCACAGTGCTGTCAGTCAAGAGGCTGAGGAGGACCCAGCTACAGCAGCAGCAGCAGCACCACCACCACAAGGCCAGGCCTCTGATGGCACGCAGGCGGAGGACGAGAACCAAGAGTGGGGACTAAACTCCCTCAGAGACAGCTTTGAGTCAGTCGGCGGCTACTTTGACTCGATGCTGGAGTTCATGGGCGGACGTGATGGAGTGTGCCAATACCGCTGTCGATATGGTAAGTCAGTTAAATTGATCAGTAAGCCTTGTGCAGTGTGGCTTAATGTTAGAATAATACTGCCAATCAGCCTTTCACCAGCCAGTTCCACCATTGACTTATCTTTTTGGTTGTTTTTTCCAAAAGATGTTAGCATTAAATCTTAATTGTAGGAGTGTTTGGAGTCCTGCTGTTACAACCCCGATCACAATAAAACACTTGGGGAAAACACAAAATACTTTGCCTGTACTGCCTGTATGGGACACCAATTGAAACCCAGTAATAATGTAATAATACTTACCTTCATGTATGATTGTACTTGTACTCATTACCTTTGTTATCAAATGGAAGAGGGCCTGGAAATGGACTGTGACCCCAGCATGATAGGAGAGGTTTCATGCAGTGACGAATATGATGTGAATGGATATGAACCAAATAAGTAACCTTTGTTTCTCTATGGGCAAACACGGATCTACTTTTAAACCCACATGGTTGTCAGAGTCCAGCCCATTTCCACTGGCCTGTTGTGAAACATGAGCTACACCTGATGTTTTGCTTTGCTTCCCCTCTCAGGTAAAGCTCCTCTTCCTCGTGCTGGCTACCAGATGCCAGAACCTGATGGATGTAGCTCTTACTTCTTTGGTCTTCCTGTTCCAGATGGGGTATTCTTCTTCTATTCATCTATTCAGGGCAAATTCATGTAATTTATCTAACTTGGAAAATTGATACTGATAGAAAGAGTTGAATCTACATCCCTAAAATAAAAACTATTGGTGTGGGGAAGAGGGTCAAAACGTATGTTTGACTTTTTAAAAACCAAGACGCTCCCCAGAGTTAATGACATTTGCTTTGGACCCTCCCTTTGGACCCTCCCCACGACTTAAAAAAGCTGCAACATCATCTGCCCTAATATTTCAATTTAGCCCTGCTAAACAATTTAATGGACCATTAATTGTCTTTGTTGTGTGCCAGATGGACATCGGCATCCCTGCTATGACCAAGTGTTGCAATCAGCTGGATATGTGTTACGACACCTGCGGCTCCAACAAGTACCGCTGCGACTCCAAGTTCCGCTGGTGCCTCCACAGCATCTGCTCTGACCTCAAGAAGAGCCTTGGCTTTGTGTCAAAAGTTGAAGGTTGGTAAATTTTTTGATCTTTATTTCATCCAGGGCAGGGTTACTGAGCCCATCCCCATTTTCAGCACTTTTCTGCCTTCTATTCTCACCTTTAATCAGTGGTTGACAAAGTATTCAGATCCTTTGTTTAAGTAAAAGTACTACCATGCCACTCTAAAAACACTTTATATTACAAGCAACAGTACTGCACTGAAAATGTTACTTGGGTAAAAGTATATAGGTATAATCAGGAAAACGTACTTCAGTTTTAACAGTAAAAGTATTCCTACGTTTTTGTATCAGACTGCAATTATGGATTAATCCACTGATCATTTTCTCCATTAATCAACCTCTAATCTGTACTTAAGTATAGTACTTGAGCACATGTACTTAGTTACTGTCCACCACTGACTTTAATAATAAAACTGAACTGATTTGGGTACACACTCTACTTGCATTCAATACTTGCTACTGTGGACAGGGCCTGAGTTGACTTACATTGGCCCAACATGTGACAGCTGAAAATGATCTCATGATGACCAGTTGTGAGACTCGATACGTCATTTTAAAAATTTCCCTCCTTGAAAAAAGCAGGTGGGGTTGGAAAAGTTCACTGCTGGTCTGGGTATTTCAGCCAGTGACTCTGCAAAAGTCTATTTAAGTTTAAAAAAATTATGAATGAGCGTTAATGTAATGTATAAAACCCATGTGAAAAAATTAGGGTCATATTAAAAAAGTGCAAAAAATCATGTCAACAGCTGATATTTGTACATTTTCTGAATTGAAGCGTAGGCTGAATAAATGTTAAATTACTGGAACATGTCGAACATGACCTTCTTCTGTACATACTGCTTTGTACTGACTGCCAGCGCTGCTTCTGTTTCCCTCGTTTTCTTTCCTCAGCATGTGAAACGGTAGCTGACACCTTGTTCAACACGGTGTGGACTCTGGGCTGCAGACCCTACATGAACAGCCAGAGAGCAGCGTGCTACTGTCAAGGAGAGGAGAAAGATGAACTTTAGAATAAAACACAAACCACTCTCTATTTATAACAGTATCAACTTGAGCAACATACCAAATGATGAGGCTCTGAGTTACGGTGTTGCAAAGACTGCTGTGTGACTACTCGAGTTACCTATTTGGAAGCTCTTGTTGTGCTTTTGCTCAAAGTCACTATTGTACTTTGCAACAAAATGTAGGTTATTGTTAAAAGTTCAACACTGTGTTGCAAGCCAAAAGTGTATTTGTTAGTTTCTAGAGGTGCATCAATGCCATCAGTATAATACAGATGGAAATAGCATATTACATAAGAAAAGCTATAGATAGCCTCTTGTGCTGTGTGTCATATGTGTAACATGTCATAGTTCACTATATGAATAAATGTTATTGACAAATACATGAATGTAACTATTTCATTTCATGGTATAGTACTGAATTATTTCCTCTTAGTCCTCAGATCAGTACATTGCATTAGCCAATTCACGTATTAGAGTACTTAGTATGGGTACCAGTTTTAATAATAATAATCAACTGGAAGTAATGAAAAATGGAGAGAGAAATGTGCCATTATTACCACCAGTGACAGGGCCATAACTACCATAGACTACTATGGTTAGAAACATTTTAACATTTGTAACGCTGTAACTAGCGCTTTCGTTAGTGTTTCTCCAACAGGAATGAGTGTTGACAAGGTGGAGAGAGTTTTGAAACAGCATTTAGACCTTGTTGTTGGGAAAATAAACAGTAAAGCTTTCTTTTAAGTCCATAAATTTGGTAAGACAAAGTCCGAGTACATTTATTTTAGTTTGAGTCAGAGGAACATCTAAAGAGGCTTCCAAATAATACCAATACTACTACTACTACTACTAATAATAATAATATTGTGTAACATGTCCAAATCTGAGCTATAGCTGTAAAAGGGCAAACAAGAGTAGAGTCGTGCCAAATGTAAAACTGTGCTGGCTCAAAAGGGTTTATCTACTGTACACAGATCATTTTACTACGTCTAAGACATTTCTGGTTCAGCTCTTCATAGTCAAATGTGGCTCAGTTTACATCCGTAAGCTCCACTTTGTCAGGCTCAGCTAGCCTTTGTTAGTTTTAGCTGTCCTTTGTCTGCCTAAGCTCTAATTTGAGTTCAGTGCTAACATGTGTTAAAGAGCTAATGTTTGCAACCTGGTCAGAGTTGCCTTTAAAAAGGTACTGCACCAATTTAGCACTACACACTGTCAGGCTCACAGTGGACATTTTAATTTTTTTATCAAAATCGATGCAGCAGAACGTTTTTTTCAATGACTTCTAATCCATTCATTTTTGAGGTATCTTGTTATGAACTAAAGAGTCAGATAAGTGTAAATTCTGACCTTTTGTTGGCACTAGCTCAAAAGTCAGGGGATCAATGAAAGTCATTAGGATTCCCCCTCTAATAGGTGATGTGAGTGTTTGTGTCAAAAGTATACACATTTTCATTTTGTGAAAGACTTCTTTACTGAGTATGGGAACAGCCAACGGTGTACTGACATCACCCTTTGAGACAGAAAAATATATATTTCATCAACAAATTAAGACAGAGCCTACAAAACATTCTCTTAATCACATGTATAAATTACCAAAGAAAACAAAAAAAAAAAGAATTGAAACAGAGTTACAGTCTTTAAGCAAACCTGCCATTAATTGCACGAAAATATTTTTTTTAAGAACATATCAATTATTTGTTAGAGTTCAAGGATGATTCAGTACAAATATGGAAATATGACTAAATATTAAACTGTCCTGCAACACTATCAACTGCATGTGTAGACACTGAACATTAGACATGAGGTCCACATGGTCTGTCGTGACTCACAGCAGGTTCAAATGAAAGACAGCCATGGCACTGCACAGGTCTACAGGGAAACAAAAACAGAAAAAAACTATAAACACTCACAAAATGACTCAACACTCAATGCTGCTTTCAAATTTCCATTTAAAAGCATCATACAGTTCATGTCAGTGTTACAAAACACTATCCATGTCAGACATTCACTTCATTGTCATGCTGATTTAATTCTATATCACTACAAATATGATGGCAGTAAGGAAGAGAAAGATATTCTTTAATGTTTTGTTGGTTCAATTTAGTTTTAACCCCTAAAACAGAGCGTAATTTAACTGTGATAAATTATTATACCAGTTTTGCTCCAATTTGATGTGTGGTTACAAACCTGAAACGATCCTAAGCAGAAAGATTTATCAATGAGGACAAACACTGTTAACATCAGTGTTCTCCTACACTAGTCTACTTACTTTAACCAGTCAGAGAGGTTATGGAGTTGGCTGGCTGTGTGACCTTTTGCTTCACCTTCTGGTTAAATGCTTCGAGCTAGAAAATATAAAAGTTTATGAACAAGACAAAGAAAATCTTAGAATAGAGTGATTCATTATAAAGAAATAAAAACAACCGTAACAGGAAAACTTTAAGAGCATATGGCCGAACAATGCAAAAAGTCATAATCATTATTTACTCACCGTCAGTGAAATTGTGATTATGATCATATCATGTTTTTATATACTGTATATAGGTGTCGTCTATGTCTGTTATGTCAATAGCTATTTATATTATGCCTAAAAACATAAATGGTGATAAATGGTGCCGCTTTGAGAGTCAATCAGACACCATCCCCCGTGACTCCGCTCACTTTCAACCCCAGTCCACCATCTCCTCCTCCTCCCACTCCTCAGAGCTGGCCAACTACACCCCTCCCCTCCTCTCTCCATCTCAGAGGGGGAAGTCAACGGGCTTTTCAGGAGGCAGAAACCCCGCAAAGCAGCTGGGCCGGACTCTGTCTCCCCATCCATCCTGAACCACTTTGCTGATCAGCTGTCTCCAGTGTTCACAGACATTTTTAACACCTCACTGGAGACATGCCGTGTGCCAGCATGCTTCAAAGCCTCCACTATCATCCCTGTCCCCCCAAAAAACAAGGACCACTGGACTAAACGACTACAGACCCGTCACCCTTACATCTGTAGTTATGAAGTCCTTTGAACGCCTTGTGTTGTCCCACCTAAAATCCATCACAGACCCTCTCCTGGACCCCCTGCAGTTTGCCTATAGAGCCAACAGGTGTGTAGACGATGCAGTAAACATGGCCCTTCACTACATCCTCCAGCACCTGGACTCCCCAGGAACCTACGCCAGGATCCTGTTTGTGGATTTCAGCTCTGCTTTTAACACCATCATCCCGGCCCTGCTTCAGGACAAGCTATCCCAGCTGAGCGTGCCTGACTCCACCTGCAGGTGGATCACAGACTTCCTGACAGACAGGAAGCAGCACGTGAAGCTGGGAAAACATGTCTCTGATTCCAGGACCATCAGCACAGGTTCCCCTCAAGGCTGCGATCTTTCCCCCCTTCTCTTCTCCCTTTATACCAACAGCCAGGCACCAGTCTGTCAAGCTCCTGACGTTTGCAGATGACACCACCCTCATTGGGCTCATCTCAGGTGGGGATGAGTCCGCCTACAGGTGGGGGATCGACCGTCTGGTGACCTGGTGCAGCCAGAACAGTGTGGAGCTCAACGCTCTGAAGACAGTGCAGATGGCCGTGAACTTCAGGAAGAGCCCCGCCCCACCCTCCCCCATCATCCTGTGACTCATCAGTCACCAGTCCTTCCGCTTCCTGGGCACCATCATCTCCCAGGACATCAAGTGGGAGCTGAACATCACCTCCATCACCAAGAAGGCCCAGCAGAGGATGTACTTCCTGCGGCAGCTGAAGAAGTTCAGCCTTCCAAAGACAATGATGGTGCACTTCTACACCGCCATCATTGAGTCCATCCTCACCTCCTCCATCACCATCTGGTACGCTGCTGCCACTGCCAGGGACAAGGGCAGGCTGCAGCGCATCATTCACTCTGCAGAGAAGGTGACTGGCTGCAATCTTCCTTCACTTTAGGACCTGTACGCCTCCAGGAATCTGAGGCGTGCAGGAAAGATTGCAGCTGACTCCTCCCACCCTGGACACAAAGTGTTTCAGACTCTCCCCTCTGGCAGGAGGCTGCGGTCCATCAGGACCAAAACCTCTCGCCACAAAAACAGTTTCTACCCTTCTGCAGCTAGCCTCATCAACAAGGTCCAGGTCCCCCACTGACACTACCCCCTTGCAAATAATAAATGTCTCTGCACAAGAATACTATTTAATTTCATATCACAGACAAACCTGGAATATTGCACACATTTGTTGTTAATTGTTAATCTATTGTCAATTTATATATTTCTTTGCAATATGTCTGCACTACACAAACCCAGAATAATGAACATGTTCTGCAAATAGTTGTTTTATTTTTCTCTATTCTTTTTATTATTCTTATATAACTCGCATTGTTTATTCCATATTTATATATTTCTACATTTATTTATATCAACTATAACCAAAACAAATTCCTCGTATGTGTTAAACACTACTTGGTAATGAAGCTCCTTCTGATTCTGAGAAAATACAAAAATAATAATAATAATAATAATGTTGAGAAATCCTCAATATTCCTGGGCCTGTATTTATCAAACATCTCAGAATCATTCCTAGGAGTCACGCTAAAAGCGATCTTAAAACACTCTTACCTCAGTGTGGGATTCTGTACAATGACTTTCCACAAGAAGGACGGTGACGTTGCTGTTTTATAACCAAAATTAATAAAACTGCTTAACTCTTATAATGTCTTATCCACAGTCCAACTCACCTGTCATCTATACTGTATTTTTTTAATAAGCCCCTAAATGCTGGCCGAGATTCAAGTGATTTCTTCAGCTAAGAAAGTTGATTAAAGGGTTTTACTGCTGGTCTGCAAATAGCAAATAAATTGCAGTCAGTTCCTACCCTAACACACGCGATAACTACAGGCCTGTTCCACAATTTAAACTCTTTCATATTTCCTGCTAACAAACGTACAGACGAGGGGGACCACAACTTAACCTATTAAAATGAGATGTATTAGGAAGCTGATTAAAACTCCACCAACCTTTTTCCTCAGGTTTGCCTTTATCTCCTCCTCCGTTGGATTCCGCTTTTCCTCTTCTGACTGCTCAGCTTCAGGCTCATCTTCGTTTCCCTGCGGAGCGTTCACCTTCTTTACAGAATCTGTAACCTGCTTTGCTGCCATTTTTAGTTGTTTCTTTTTCAATTTTTTCCGTTTCCACCTTAAACGGCGCGTGTTAAAATTCCCCCGCCTCCTAGTCTTGCAGTCTGTGAGTTGCTTTAGACAGCTCTGAGTGGGCTGCTTAGTGCTGATGACCGTCAGGCAGCGACGGACAGAAGACGATCCAGTTTGGCCTTCACTTCTAGACAGGTCTGGATTCACAAGTAAGTTTACGTCACGAGTATTATGACGAGGGTAAACCGTGTTAGGTGCCATTACAGAG